CGGGCGGGCTTGGGGCTGCCGTGAGCGCAGGGGCGGCGGGTTTGTGCTTGCCCCATGGGGCCAGCGCTGGCCGTGTGAGCACGGGGCCCTGAGGAAGGGGCTTCCCCAGGGGCCTGGGGCTTGGTTTTGGCTCTGGGCTTCAGCCCAGCTCAAAACCTGTGAGCAGCTCCCGAGTGAGCTCCCCAGAGCTCCGCCCTCCCCCCGTTCCCTTCCCTCCTCTCTCCCCACTACTCTCTTAACCCACCTAGGTTCTTTGGCCCCTCTGAGACACACCGCTGGGTTCATCTTCCTTGCTTTGCCTTTTACCATGAGCACTGCTGCTTCTTGGCTGTGGCAGCTTGTCCAACCTCAGTGGCAGGGCGGGGGTTTGGTGTTACAGTGTTTCTTCAGGCAGCACCTTGCAGCCTGCCTGTCCTGTCAGTATGTGGGGTGTTCAGAGCACAGGGCTCCTGCGTGCCTCAGCTGTGCTGAGGAGCTGGCAGGGTCTCTGTGGTGAGCTCAGGGAGTTTTATGGTACTGTAGGTTGGGAGGTGAGGAAGGGAAATGGAGTCTATGCAGAGCCTGGCTCTCGTAGGGATCCAAGGATCAGAGTGAAGCCCAGAGCCCCACCCAGCGCTGGCAAGAGGCTGGTACAGAGCCTGGAGTGCAGCAGGCTGTTTGCAGCTGCTCTGCCTGCTTGTGGGGATCCCTGGGGGACTGGATCCAGCGTATCTCTGCCTGGGGTGCCTGTGCCCATCCAGATCTTTGCACTCAATGATTCTCTTTTCGAAACAAGTTCAGCCACAAGAATAAGTCATAGTTACTGGGCATAGCCCTCTTTGCACCAGTAAAACCAGCTTGGCTGAGGGTTGAGACAAAAACCTCTGGGAGTGGGCAATGCTGGTGTCAGCATGACCCAGAGAGCTGTAAGGGGCATCTGCATCCCAGTCGGTGTCTCTGAGATGAACCCTAGATTTAATCCTTGTTTTTGCAGTAGTCACACAACCAGAGCACTGCTGGGCCTCACCCTCCTGGAGGTATCAGCACTGGCAGCGTGTGTGGCCTGTCATGGCGCAGGGAGAGCAGTGGGAAATAGAAAACGAGGAGCCTATTCTTCCTCCCTGTGTCTTCCCTCCAGGGCTGGACCAACCCCTGCAGCCCAGCTGGAGCTTTCATCATGGGCCCTAGCACAGCAGGAGGAGAGGAGCAGGGTGGGACTACTGCCACGGGGGAGGGCTCTGGGTGCCGCTGGTGCGCGGGCCAGCGAGGCATCTCGCTAGGTGTCCTCCGATCCCTGCTCTGGCGCTGCCAGGGAACAAAAGCTCTTCAGAGCGCGTGGTTTGATAATTGCTTCTTGTTTCAGTGCCGTGGTCCTCCCCCTGCCCCTTGAGGGGCTGAAGCGCAGAGGCTTCTCAAAGTCGGACAAAACAAGCCACTTCGGGGGCTGGAAAACCTCATCGCTTTCTTTTTTCTTGTGCAAAACTACAGCCCGGAGCCGGGGTGTGTGTGTGTGTCTATTTCCAGGGCTCAGGAGCGCTGCAGGGCTGATTGCTTGTGTCCAGGCTCCAGCCCTCCCTCACTGCCCCTTCCCAGGTGCCCTGCCTGCCCCTGCGAGTACCTAGCACACCCACACCCCTCGGGCTGGGGAGCCGGTGGGGTACCCTGTGGCCTGCATGTGCTGGCTGGTGTCCCCTGAGTGTGCAGACTGGTCCCAAAGCGATTCCAGGGCAGGTGAGTGAGGGTGTGGGGTTTGGCAGGGCACTGGTGAAGCCCCTCTGAGCAGGCAGAGGTGATGGGCTATGGTGTGATGCTGCAGCTTAGATGTCACGGGTGTGCTGGGGGCCAAAGTGCTCCTGGGGCTCCTCTGGGGAAAGTGCTGGCAGAGCTGAGTTGAGGGCTGGGGTGCTGGCACTTCCACACTGCCTGAGCACCCCGCACCTGGACCTTCCCTGTGGTGGAAGGATCCTGCCCCCGTGGGGTTGGCTGCAGTGCATCTGCAGTTCTCCAAGGGCCCCGTGCACCGTGGCATGGCCAGATCCCAGCAAGGCACACTGCCAGTCCAGACCCTGGCACTTGCCTCGTGCCTCGCTTTTCCCATCTGTAAGGAGCAGCCCTGGCCTGCTGAGGGCTGGCTGACTTACTTTGGAACTTGACATTTTCTTTAAAAAAAAAATAATCTGTGCCCAGGCAACATGCAAAGGGCACTGAGTGCTCAGAGCCCTGACAGACCTGTTGCTGTTCTTGCTGCGTTGAACTCCCCTGGCTCCAAACCCGGTGCCCCAAACAGCGTGGGACAGGCTGTCCTGCAGCATTGCTCCCACTCAGGCTGGTGTTTTGCTAAACATCTGGCAGTTGTCCCAGGGCAGCTCCAGGCTGTGGGTGTGGGCAGGAGGCCCTGGTGGAGGAGGAAGGGAAGGTTTGGTGACCGAGTGCTGCCATACACAGTGGCAGAGCTTGGCTCCAGCAGGATCAGGCCCCCTGGTTGGTGGAGCGGGGGCCCAGCTAGTGTGCCACCGCAGTGCCCGGCCAAGGATGCGTTTCCTTGGCCCCACACAGGCACCCCAGGGAACCCTTGGGGCTAGTGAGGCTGTGCTGCCCCAAACCTGTGTGTGCCCGTGGCTACCCAGCCCTGGGTATGCTGTTGGCAGGCTGTCGGGAAGCTAGCTGGCTGTGCTGATGAGGCTCACTTTACTGTCCCATTAGCCTGGTGTAACTCCATTAACTTCCATTTAAACCAGAAATTAACTTGGCCATGGCTATTAGTCCTGTGCCCACAGCTGCTTCCTGTGGTGGCTGGGATGTGTCACCCAATGCACCACCTTGGGCAGGAAATGAAAAATTGACTCCAACGGAAGGCTGTGGACTTTGCTGGGGCTGGAAGCAGCTGGGCTGGCCCCTGGCCATGCTGCAACAGGTAGGAGGGCACAGGGCTCAGCATCCCCATCTTGGGCACTGCTGCTGTCCCCAAGATGTGAGGGACCCACTGAAGGTGTCCTGGAGGGCAGTGACAGCCCTGCAGCTGTGTGGGTGTTCCAGCAGCTCCCAGTCCAAACTGGGCTGCTGAGACGACCAGGGGCAGGGGCTGAGTGCTGGTCCTGATCACAAAACTGCTCCTGGGTTCAGCTGAACCACAAGGGCTTGCAGGGCCGTGGGGCAGTGCTCGCCTCATGCCTTTGCTAGCATGGTGCCAGCAGTGAGGCTCCCGTGTCTCGCCACAACCAGCGCATGGGATACAGGGGCTTTAGCTTAGGAAGGATGTGTTGGGTTTTTACCACTTTAATTTTTTGGGGGATACACAAGTTCCTGGAGCCGGGTGGCTTAGAGCTGACTGCAGTGTTTATCTCTGAATGGATGCCAGGTGCCCAGACCTGATGTTTGGCAAGGGAAGGAGAGCAGGGAGTGGAGAAGCCGGGAGTACCACCCTGGCGTGAAATGGCTCCCAGCTCTCCCCTTGGCTGCATCTTCTCTTGGTTTGGGGTGGGGGTAGGAGCAAGACCTCCCCGGGGGGGTTTGGTTTGTCCCATCTAAAGAACAACTCCAGCACCAAACCGGCATGGGTGCACCTCGCTTTCTCTCCTTCCCACCGCAGAAGACCCCGATGAGGCGGGCGGGCGATGGGGCTGCGAGGTACCAACAGAGCCGGTCTGTGAAACTTGGCCAGGAGGACAGAGGGAGATTGATGTTTGCTTGGGTACTCAGCTGCAGGCTCTGCCTGCCCCTGCGCCAGCTGGGGACAAAAGCGCCGGCCCCGGATGGCACTGCAGGGCTGGCGTAAGCCCCCCAGGACAGCTGGCAGCTCTGTGAGGCTGGCGCCCGCCCAGCAAGCCAGTGTGAAGGGGCCGCGCAGGGAGGCTCGCCTGTCAGAATGCTCGTCTGTTGGGGTGTCTGAGCTCCACCGCCGAGCTGAAGCTCCCCATTGGCCCCACATTTGCCCCATCTTGGGTCCTGTCCCCTGGCCAAGCCTGGATGGGATGGAAGGGAGCTGGGGTGACCACAGGGAGTACCCCACAGAGCTGGCAGGGGGAGAAGAGTGATGGCATTTGGGACTGGGAGCTCACGGCGGGAGGGGTCCCGCCCAGCCCTGCTGGCATCTCCCACGTGGAAGATAAAACCCGATAGTTACCACCAATTATGTCAGAAAAATCACCCATGGAGGTAACGATGCCAGGGTGTAATTGCAGATCAGGGCTCCTGTCCCTACAGGGCTGTTGTGCCATTGTCCTCATGTCCCTCCCACACACGGGGGCCCCTGCCAGGAGCTGGAGCTGTCCGCAGCATCCTTAGCAGAGACAAACTCCCAGCACACCACTGAAAATCCCAGAAAGGCTTTATTTGCGTAGGAAGATTGCTGCTGTTTAAAAACCCACCACTGCTAGAGGGTGGCTTGACTGCCCAGCAGGTGCCTGCAGGTGCTGGCACCTCCCCATTCAGCGCTGCCTTGGGGGCCAGGTGCCAGGCGAGATGAGGTGCACCCCTTCCTCTGCCTCCAAAGGGGGCCTCCCCAAAAACAAGTCTTGAAAGTCTGGCCTGGACAGACGTTGGAGCCCCACAGGGACCCCTGCAGTGGGGCAGGCATGCACAGCGGTGGGTCCTGGGTGTGGCCTGGGCTGGTTCTCCTTCACTTGCCTGATCTGTGAAATGGGTGCGTGCAGCTGAGTGCTCTGTGGGGTTTGGGGGGCTGGGCAGGGGACGGGGGTGCAGGGCTTTGTTCCTGGTGAGTCGTGCAAGGGAGACAGTCATGCCTGCCTGAGGAGCTGAGCCAGGGGCTGTGGTGGGGGGGTTCTGCCTGGGTCTGGCTTCAGCAGGCAGCACTAGCCTCCTGCCCTGCAGGGTCCCTTTTGCCATCACCAGTGGGGCACTGGGGCCCTTGCCATGTCATGGTGGCACCACAGCCTCTGAGGAAAGGGGAAAATCCTGTTTCCATCCTGCCCTGCCTGGAAGAGCCTGGGCCCTTTCCTGTGCCTGGGGCTGTGGGAGGACAGACCACACCAGGCTGAGCTCCCCTGGGCTGGCTGTGAGCAGGGGGAAAGGGGAGCATCAACACATTTCTCTCTGTAGCACCTACACAAATATCACTTACTGCTTTTATTTCCTGCTAAGTGTGGAGGATATCCAGGTCTGGGGGGCTGGAAGCCTTGCTGAGCTCGTCCTGTTGAGGTTTCAGAAGCTCTCCTTTCCCATGGAGGAGTACCACATGTGGGTGACAGAGTGGGGGGCAAGCTGGGGAACGGGGCAGTTTTCACCTCCAGCTCTCTGCTGGCACTGTGGGGCCATGGGAATGCAGCAGAGTGGGAATGCCACCACTCTGCTCCTCCAAAGGGATCAGCCAAGCTGCCCCCACTATTTTCATCCCGAAAAATCTCCCTCAGAAGATGGCCCCTACCTGCAGGTAGTGCACTGCCAGCTCCCCGATGCCAAGCAGCTCCTGCCTGCCACTGTCTGTGCCCCTTCACTGTCAGTGGGACCAGCCTTGCCTGCTGCCTGCCCCAGAGCTGGCTTTTCCTTGGAGGAAAGGGAGCCTCCTGCCCAGCGTCCCTGCCACAGTCCTGCCTGCAGCTGCATGCATGACAGCTCTGGGCTCTTGCAGGGAGGGAAGTGCCCCTGACCCACTGCTCTGCTGTGCGTTGGAGCTGGCTGGGGGCTGCAGGACCCTGTCTGTTGCTGAGCTGGGGGCTATGGGGCCATAGCAGCACCCCACACAGTCTGGGTGCAGGCAGGGCTGCTGCCTGCTGTTTCCTGCAGCCAATCTCCAGGCCAGAGGAGGAGAGAGGACAGCAGCCTCTCACCTGGGTGCTCGTAGCCCACAGCTCAGTGGTGCAGCCCAGAGAAGCAGCAGCCTGACATGGAAGGCGCAGAGAGGCAGTGGGTGTTTGGCTGGAAGGTGGTATTCCCTGGCCACGGGCTGTGCAGCATATCTGGGTACCAGGAGCTTCCCTGTGCCCTGGCAGTGCAGCATCCCTGGGTACTTGGGGCTCCCCCAGCAGCAGCACAGCATCCCTGGTACCCAGGGGTGACACCATGCAGGAGGCAGGAGGGGCCCCTCTCTCCAGCTGACCATGGGGATCTGAGGTTGCTGATCCCCCACCTTGGTGCTCTGGCATCCAAAGGGACATGGGAGCTGCCACGTGTCCAGGCTCTGAGGCCCAGCCCAGCTGTGCCACTGCTAGAGGACAGAGGGAAATAAAACATGGTTCTAGCTGAGCTCGTGGCGCTGGGCGCCCTGGGAGGGTCAGACCAAGAGGCAGTCATGCTTTTCCAGGCTTCAGGGCACCGAGTGGATGTCCTCCGAGCGCAGCACTTTGTAGATGACCCAGTACAAGATATTGAAGATCAGGAAGGTGAAGGGGAAGACGGCTCGGGAGATGGTGTCGATGCGTTTGGCCCGGTCGCTGTAGCACCTGCGGAGGCTCTCCCCTTCCTGCAGCAGCATGCCGGCTGGAGGGGGGCTGTAGATGCTGGGGCCCTCCCCAGCCCCATCCTTCGGCTGCAGGCAGTGGCCCAGCCCATAGCCTCTCAAGTAGCAGCGGCTCTCACGGACAAGCTCTTCCTCCTGGCAAAGGGAAAGGCTGTCAGCCAAAGCATCCCACGGGTGCTGATACTGCCGGGTGAGCAGGCTTTTGTGGCCGCGTGTCCTATACACCCCCCCCACTGGGCAATACAGCCCCGTAAGTGTCCAGCACAAGGTGAGGTGCTTTTTGAGAAAGCCTGGTGCATGCAGGCAAAAGCATGGGGCTGGCAGGCTGCGGATGGGGGCAGGCAGCGGTGTGCACTGACCAACTACCTTGTCATCCAGCACGTGTTTTAACGGTGCATCCAAGGGCAATCCCGATGCTGGCAGTTCAACACTAATTCCCCCCCCAGCCTCCTCCCAGCTCTGGCTCCAAAGCTTGGGCAGCCTGGCTCTGTGGCAGCTGGGGGGACGGGTGTGAATTGGGGCAGGGGGAGATTTGCACATGGGGGTGCAGGGCACGGGGGTGCAGGGTGCACTAGGGTGCAGAGCACAAAGGGGTGCAGAGAGCTTAGGGGCACAGGCACTGCTCCGCAGCCATGTTTGATGCAGGGTGCAAGCATGTCTGTGACAAGGAACAGGAGGAGGTAGGCAGCTTGCTGGGGCAGAGCTGGGCAGGGATGCAGGAACCCAGATACCATCAGGGCTTGCAGGGCTTCCCAGTCCCTCCAAGGGCTCAGAGCCCTGTTTCTTCCCACAGCTGCTTGGCAGGAGATGCCTGGTGCAGCAGAAGAGGGAGGTGAAGAGAGTTGGATTCCTTGCCAGGGGGCTGCAGGGAGGGCAGTGTGCCCATGGGGCTGCGTGCCCATGAGCAAACCTGCAAAACTGCCATGAGAACCACACACCTGCCCTCACCCGTGAGTTGCAGCTCACTGCCACTGTTCACAGCACAGCCCCGATCGCCTCAGGTGCCAGCCAGCGGTGCCCCTGCTCCTCCCCACTGACAGCTGCACATCATTAGTGACTTGCCTCATCCTGCTCTTTTATCCTTGGGGGGGTTGTGGGTGCAAAGATTTGGTGAGGGACTAGCTTGTACGCCCGGGCTGCACATCTGCCTTCTTGCTGAGCCCCTGGGCCACTCATTTGGTCTCTGTGGCTCATACCCCCTCTGCCTCACCGGTGCCATATCTGGCTGCAGTGAGTCTCTGCTCCCAGGGCGTGCTGCTGGCCAGCACCTCGCCTCGCGCCGTGCCCACATGCAGCCCTGCTGCCAGATCCCAAATGCCATCTCTAACTGGCCCTGTCTTCCAAACCACGGAGAGCAGGCTCCTCGCTGAGGTCAGCCTGCACAGGTGCTCAGGCAGCAAGGGGGCTCTCATGCGGAGAGCTTGCGCCCTGGCATCTTTATTTAACTCAGCAATCTGCTAGCTAAGCAAGATTTCTCAGTGGGAGAGCAGCAGCTCAAATTGCTGAGATTACTTCTCATTTGAAGTGGAGCTTCATTCCCCTGTCCCAGGCTGAGCGCTTGTAGCCATCCCCGGGGATGCAGTGTTGGGGACCTGGGGTGCCCGGGGTGGGGATGGGTGTGTGGGCAGCAGCAACACCCTCACCCCAGGGAGCCAGCAGGCCCAGCCAGGGTGTTTGGGGGAGGAAATGGCAGTGCAGGTCCTCCCAGCTGGGTCCCTCTGGGCTGGGGCAACCCTGGGGCACTTACTGGGGGCCAAGGTTGGGTGCAGGGAGCTCCCTGGGTTTGGCTTTGTGGGGTCTGTGGAGGGATATGCTGCCGGGCTGCGGCACCTGGCACGGGAGCTGTGGGCAGAGGGGCTCTGCTCCGGTCTCTGACCAAGGAGCAACCGGGATGCTCCTGCCTGCACCCAGTCCTTTGCCAGTGGCACCCTGGTGTGGCTCTGCAGCCTCCAACTCAGGGCAGCTGCACTTTGTCCTGTTTTAAGCTGGTAGATGGTTCCTGGGTTTGGCAGAGCAGGCAGGGCTCCCTGTCCTGTTTGGGTGGGTGTTCATCTCTAAGGAGTCAGTGCTCAGGGGCTGCGAAAGGCAGGGAGCAAGGGAGTATGCTGGGGGCAGCTGGGGAGCCCCTCCCAGCATCCAAGGGCTGATGATGGTGAGGGGAGGCGCAAGGCAGCCTGGCCGGGCAGGGAGACACGGATATACCAGGCTTGATCTCTTCTCTGGAGCTGCGGTCATTCCCCAGCATCACCCTGCCAACCTGGCAGCCTGCCCTGCCCCACCGTTCCTCCCTATGCCTCGAGCTGCAAAGCGCCCGTGTGCCCTGCGCTGGAATTCCTGCATGCAGCCACTGGCGCCTCAAACCTGCCTGTGCCAGGAAAGCCAGGTGGGCAGAGCCCTCAGCCTGCCAGAGGGATGGGCCCCAGGAGGGGCCTCTGTCCACCCCAGCAACACTCACCCCCAGCAAAGGGGGCTGTGCTGGTCCTGCTTTACAGAAGGGGAAACCGAGGCACGGTGCAGGGGTGTCTGCTCCATTGCCATCCCTCTCAAATCTCTTTTCAGCCCAGAGAGTGGCAGCTCCATCTTACAGGCACATGCTCTGTGCAAATCACTGCCCTGCCTCTTCCACAGACTCTTGGTGGCCCTCGGGGCCAGCTCCTGGAGGGCTTGTTTTGAGGGGGGGAGGGTGAGGCTGGCCGGGGTCACACTGCACTGCACAGGGGACTGCCGGAGGGTCGTGCTTTACCCGGGAGCTGGAGAGCTGCGAGAGCGTTGCGTAGGTGTGCTCGCCGCTGTGCCGGCCGCTCAGCTGCCGCAGGGACTCCAGGCTGGCCGTCCCGCTGCTCAGGCCCTTTTGGCATCCGACAGTGCGCACCAAACAGAAACAGGACAGTGGGTGACCGATGGCTCTGCCCCGACCCCAGGGATCTGGGCACCGGGATGGGGATGGCAGGGGATGGGGGATCCATGTGTGTGGGGGGGTAAGCCCCCCAGCAGTGCCTGGGAACTGGGGTCTGTCTTCAGCACATGCTGAAGAGATCTGGCTGCACACGGGGAGCCTGCGTGCTCTGTGTGTGTACTCATGCTTTCCACAGAGGTCTGGTGCCTCGTGGTGCGCTTATGGCAAGAAAGTGAGAGTCGGGCAGCCATGTGCCTCCCCCAAGCATCTCACAAGCCCGATGCCTGCGCTGAGGGGCTGATGGAGGGGAGAGCTGTCCTACAAGCGTGGGACCCTGCCTCTCTAGGCCCTGCTGCACTCCCACCTGCAGCTCAGTCCCTGTCCCTGGGTGTCACCAGGTCCCTTTGGTGCTCCCCCACCCTGATGCAGCAATGAGCCCCTGTCACCACTGTGGCACAGCAAGGAGCCCGGGTTTGGGGATGCAGGTAAGGGGAAAAGCCATTTCCCCCACCCTTGCTGTTTATTTTTCTGCTTTTTTAGAGGAAGCAGAGCCTGAGGATATCCCAGCAGGAGGATAACAGCATTCTGGATGTTTGTGCTGGCAGGGCCTGGGGCACTCATGGGTGCTGTGCACTGTGCTGCTCAGGCAGGCAGAAGGACTGAGATGCCCATGGGTCCCTGATGTGCCAGAGGGGCTGGCCACAAGCCCGGGGCAGTGGGACACAGCCCAGTGCCAAGCCCTGCCCCAGCAGCTGCTGAGGAATTGGCCCTGCAACCTTGGGGTGTCCCCTTGGTGGCTAAGAACAGGCAGATGTCATGACAGCGGTGGCAGGAGGGACTCACCATCCTCTGCCGTCGCTGGCGCCGTCGCAGGCGCATGAACTCCTTGTGCTGGCGGGAGATGAAGTTGACGGTTGCGTACTCCAACAGGGCAGCAAAGACAAAGAGCAGGCACACCGCCATCCAGATGTCAATGGCCTTCACGTAGGACACCTGTGAGGCCAAGAGGGGGCTCAGGGACCTGTTGCCCCCCACTTCACTCATCCCCTCCACTGCCAGTGTCACCTGATGTGCACAGGAGCCCTTTCAGCTGAGACACGGGGGCCCGAGCTGACCCAGCGAGCAGGGCCATGCTCCCCCTTGGCACATGCAGTGCCCCAGTTGGCAAAGCTCCGGAGCCAGCCCCTGTCCCTGGGGCACCGGGGGCAGCAGTGGGAACCCAGGGTGCCCTGGGCAGGCTGCAGTGTGGGGTCCTGGCAGGGAGCTCGCACTGACCTTGGGCAGGGAGGCACGGGACCCGGCGCTCTGTGTGGTCATGGTGAGCACTGTGGTGATGCCCAGACCCACTCGGGCTGGCGCCGCGTCCATATTGATCCAGAAGGAGACCCAGGAGAGGATGACAATGAGCAGGCTGGGGATGTACATCTGGATCAGGTAGTAACCCATCTGCCTCTCCAGGTGGAACTTCACCTCGATGCAGGTGAACTTGCCTGCGGGGGTAGATGGCCCTGATGGGCAAAAGGGACCCCCAGGCCTTGGCAGGGGAGTGGCAGCAGGTCCCTGGGGTACTCACCTGTGTTGTAGTACTTGGTGCAATATCCCAGGTCCTTTTCATCCTTGAGGATGAACTGTGGGAGCGTCAAGCCCTCTGCCACCTGCACGGCCTCCTGCTCCTCCAGCCACTCGAAGATGAGGTCGTTCATGGTGTAGCCAACTGGAGGGGATGGAGGGAGCCATGGAGTGGGGTGGGACATGCTCACTGCCCCCAGAAGCAGGGAAATGCCAGCCTTTGTGATGGGATCATTGGGATGGGATGGGATGGGATGGGATGGGATGGGATGGGATGGGATGGGATGGGGAGGACGAAGCTTGAACCCCCCTAGGTACTCACAGCTCTCCAGCTGCATGGTGCATGTCTGGATGTCCATGGGGAAGTTCTTGAGGTCCATGGGGCAGGACAGGATCAGCGTCAGCCTGGAGGAGGCAAAGGAAATGAGGGGGTTGCTTAGGGCTGTGGCCGTTGGTGGGGACAGAAAGCTGTCCCACAGAAGGTGAGAGGAAAGCTTCACCTCCCCCTTGGGCACTGCACCAGAGGAGAGGGTCCTACCTAATGCTGTATAGCACGTTGCCATTCTTGAAGATGCGCAGCAGCTTGTTGTCAGTGGTGACCTCATGGAAATTGGCCCCTTTCTCGTTGGCAAAGAACAAGTCTGGCTTCCAGATGGAGTCGAGCATGGAGGGGTCAAGGTCAAGGGAGTCGTCAGGGTACTCACGGTAAGCCAGGCGGGGGTCGTTCCACTGCTGCCGCAGGAAGACATTCACCCGGTAGTCCTGGGGTAGAGGGCACAGCGTCGGCCAGGAGCACCCCACAGTGCCCAGGGAGAGGAGGAGGAGAAGACGGAGGAGGAAGAAGAGACAGAGGACAAGGTGGAAGGGGGTCTCTCAGTTGAGGCTCAGCCCTGCAGGTGCTGCCTGCCTGACACTAACCATGCACAGAGCAGGGGCAGCTCAGGAGCCTTCCCACACCCTTGGCAGCCAGGGGAAATTAAAAAGCCAAAGCCACAGCAGATGAGAGGAGGAGGAGGAGGAGGAGGAGGAGGAGGACCAGGAGCTGCTGCCTGTAGCATTCCTCGAAGGGCCCTGTGGCCCTATGGGAGGTTGATGTGATGGTTGATGGTATTAAGGTTTTGCAGCAGCACAGACAGGGAATTTTTAGCCCTGGGACTTTCTCAGAGGAGTTCCTCGTGCACCTGAGGAGGCTGAGGACGGCCGGGACACAGCACGCTTGTGTTGTATGGCACTGGCCAAGCCTGCAAACATCAGGGAGCTACTGCTGGCTGCCTTGCTCCGACCCTTCAGGGTGTTTCTCTCAGCTCAGGTGTGAGGAATGTGTCCCACACAGCCAAGCTCCCATTAACTGTTCCCAGAAAAGCCGCAGCCATTTGCTATGGCTCTGCATGTCTCCTCTGCCAGGCCCAGCCCTGGAGAAGGACTCACAGGACCCCTGTCAACATGGCTCAGGCACTCCGTACGCTCGCTGGCAGAGCCCCTGCCAGCCCCAAGGCAGTGGGAGAGCAGCCCATCACGCTGGCAAAACCCTCACCATGGTGGTCTCAGTGACAGAGCCGAAGCTGTTGATGAAGATGTTGCACGTCACGTTGACAGGCGGACCTGGAAAACAGTGTGAAGCCTCCTCTCGCCGCTGGCCAGGGAGACACGTGCGCCACACAGGCACACGTGGGGCCACCACCTCCTGCCCGTGCTGTGCGGACAGATGCACACCAACACCCCCCTTCCTGCTGGGGTCACCCCCACAGCGAGTCGGGGGAGCCCCAGAACACCCTGCACACATGGCAGCTGCCCGTGCTGCCAGGCACAGCAGGTGCCCCGCAGGGTGATTGTGATCACAGGAGCTGCTGGGACGCTGGGGAGGGTGTTGGGATGGAGGGACTTGGGTTACAGTCCTGCCCTCAGACCCATACCTGCTCATTCCCTGGTTTGGGGCAGCAATAAGTGTGGGGTACTGCCAGGTTTGGGAGCCTCACGTCCTCCTATTACCTTTGAAGTTGGGTCGAATCCGGGCATCATACCCCGACGTTCGTCCCATAAGCTTGTCCAGGAAATCAGAGGGTGACATGGGCTGGGGCGAGCTTCGGGAAGCAGCTTTAATCTCCTCCCACCCTGAGACCAGCCTGAGGGGCAGAGGAGGCACGTTAGCTGCCTGGCAGCAGCACCAGAGGTGTGTAGGCGCATTTTGGCACCCTGTGGGGAAGCAGCTGTGCCTGCGCCACCTCTGCTTCAGCACCAAGTCAGAGCATTGACCCCGAGACCCCTCCGTCCTCCTGCTCTGATCCCGGCAGCTCCCCTCCTCACTTGCCACAGCTTGAGTGCTGCGTGCCCGTGTTTTGTCTGTGTCCCTGCCAGCAAAGCCCCTGCCCGCCGTGTCCCCTGGCATGGCATTTGGGCCTGGGTGCCTCCTGGCTCCGGGGCTGTGGTGGGGATGGGACGCAGAGCTCTATGGTCTTGCGCATGGCAGCCAGGCTCTGTGCTGGTGCTGGAGGGGGAAAGTGGGAAGGGAGGGTCCTGCCTGGGTTCAACGGTCTGACCCAGCTTGAGCCGCTGAGCAAATGTTGGTGCACTGCCTGGCTCAGAGAGCCTGGGGAACACAACACCCGAGCCATGAGCTGGCCTGGAGTGAGGGAGGAGGTGCCCAGGAGCACAGCTGGGGTTGTAACACCTTGCCAGAGGCCCAGGCGATGTGGCAGGAGAGGAGCAGCAAAGCTCACCCCTGCACTGGCTGTGGCATGGAGCTGACATGAGTTCTCCCACGCAGTGCTCCCAACAATGATGGAGACTTATTTAATCTGACCTTGGAGGGGATATTTTTGTGAACACATCTTAGCCTGCCAGTTTCTCTCCTTCTGTCAGTCTGTAATGATCATTTCAACGAACAATGTGAGACAGTTGCTCACCACATTGCCAGGCATGTGGCTGTGATGGAGAGGAATTAGCCGCAGACCTCTGGACACAAAGGGATCTTTGAGCACGCTGCTGGCGCTGCTGCATGCTGCCTCATAACTCCCTCAGGTCCATGTCCACTCCTGCTCGGAGCTACAACCTCTTTATCACAATCAGAGGATGATGCTGGGAGCTGGGGCCCCCTGGGGTCTTTGTTCCTACCTCTTTGCTCCTACCAACACACTTTGTTCCTACCTCCTCTCAGGGGAGTGGGAATCATCCTGGAGGGGCTCATGTGCATCCTTGACAGCTGGAAATGGCCACAATGGTCAACCCAAATGATCCAGACAGGCAGGTTTTCCCTTAATGGGTGATGAGCATCAGAGAGTATCTGAGACTGGACCTGACCAAGAGTGAAAGGCTGGGAGAAATTGCCCCTCCAGGAGCTGCATGAGAACGGTGAGCCTTTGGGAGGAGGGCTGCAAGGCGCCAGGGTAGCACAGAGTTAAGTCAGGCCTCTGCCTGCCACATAGCTGTGACCCATGTCCTCCTCGATGGAGAGGAGGAGGGGGGTTCTCCCCTGGAGCATGTGAGCAAGTCTCCCTTGGCAGGCAGCAACTACCTCCTTGAAGAGGCTCAGCTAACTGGCCGAGCAGCTGCAAATCTGCAGCCCCAGGGATGCTTGGACCTTGGGGACTGCAGTGGGTGCAGACACGACCCAAGTACAGCCACCTCCAGCAGCAGCACTAGCACCACGCTGGCACACAGCCCCTGGCACAGCCCCTGTGGCCTGGCTCCTCTCAAGGTTTGGCTGTAGCCCCCCCAGTTCAGGCACTGGCTGCCCCGGGGGTCTCTGCCACTAACCTGGCCCAGGCACTGTGGGGCTGAGCACCTCCGTGGAGTGAGGGGATGGTGGGGCTGGAAAGCGCTCGCGTCCACCTAAAAATGCCACCCTAGACAAGCAGTTTCTGCATGTGAAGCGATGACATTTTGATATGTTTTTCCCCCTCCCCGTCACAGATGCTGCCGTTCTCCCCTGCGCTGCTCCCAGTGGTGGGAGGCGGGGTGGGGGCAGGGAGCAAGCTCAGCCCGGGGGCTCTGCAGCCTCCCCTGCACCCTGCCTTGTCCCACGTAGCACCCGAGGTGGCCAGAGAGGGGAAAAAGGGACCTGGGGTCTTTGGATTTTCTACCTGAGTGGGCCAAGAGTTGTTCCTGCACCCATGGCACCTGGGGCACCCACTGGCCTGGGCGATTGGCTGAGTCAGGGGCTGTCCTGAGCCCCCCCAAACACCCCGAGCCAGGATTGGGTCTGGACATCGCAGGGGATTTGCGGCCCCGGAGAAAGAGCTGCCGGGGCCATCACCTGACTCAGCTGGCCCCTACTCCTGCTGTGGCAAGTGTCCCCCGCTGGGCTGGGGCCAGGGGGACCATTGGGACCCAGCACCGGGCCGGGGACCGCTGAGGACAGGCAGAGCCCAGCTGTGTGCGGCTGGGTGGGACATGGCAGGTCGGCTGGGTCCCCGGGCTGCTGGGTCGGGGTTCGGGGAAATGAGGGGGGTGAGGCCAGGTTTGGGGCAGCTCCGGCAGCCTGTGGGGAGG